TTAGATCTGATAGAAGTGGTAAATATGAGTCTAATTTTCTTAAATAGGTGTGCGAGAATAATGACATAATTCTTGAAAAATTTCCCCTACTTTCCTCAATAAAATGGAATAATTGAGAGGAAAAATGTAACTTTAAAGGAGATGATGAACTCTTTATTATTAAGTTTTGGTTATCCAGTAACATATGGGGGAGTTATTCTTTTTTCAAATCACATATTAAACCGAGTATCTCAGAAGAAATTAGATTGCACCCTATATGAGTTATGTAAAGGTTATGCACCTAATTTTCCATACTTAAAAGTTTGGGGGTGTCTGGAAAAAGTTGGTTTGCCTGACTTTAAGAAGTCCACTATCGGTTCCAAAACTTTTGATGTAGTGTTTACCGGGTATTTATAAAATAGTATCGCATACATATTCATATATCTGCATGACTTATCTATTTGTGAATCTAAGGATGATGTGTTATTTGAAGATAAATTTCCTTTAAAGAAACATAGATTAAGTGTTAAAAAAGTAAAAAATTGTGCCATAACTTCTTCTGTCCATGCCAATGATACTCTAATGATAAAATTAAAGCCTAGAAGGAGTAAAAGACAAAGGGTGTCTTTCATATTTGGTCCAGATTTCTTAACCCCCTTTTCCTAAAAATAAGTGATATAAACTCAAATTTTGTTCTTATAGCTTAGGTTTGTTTATTAGATAAGGATCCAAATTCATATGATAAAGCTAAAAGTTCCATTGACGCTAGTTTTTGGACTACTACAATAAACGATGAACTAGAGTCAATAATGTATAATCACATATATGAGTTGGTTGATTTACCTAGAGGATTTAGACCAATCAATTATAAGTGGGTTTTCAGAAGGAAAAAAAACTCAGACCAGATTGGTTAATCTAAAGGTATAATGCAAGGCTAATAGTCAAAGGGTTCCCTCAAAAGTTTGGTATAGACTTCTTTGATACATACTCTCATGTCAAAAAAATCTCAATGATTCGTTCCTTTTTCGTGATAGTGTCAATTCATAAGTTGCAAATATATCACGTGGATGTAAAGACAATATTTTTGAATTAGAATCTAGATGAGGAGATCCATATAGAGCAACCATCAGGTTTTAAATCACCTGATATGGAAGCTAAAGTGTGTAGAATTAAAAAAAAGTAACTTTATGACATTGAACAAGCTCTAAAGCATTGGTAAGAGAAATTTCACAAAACCATTCTAAGTTTCGATTTTATTATAAATGGAGTGGATGAATGCATGTATTCGAAAATGTTTGGGATTAATTGTGTCACCATAGGTTTGTATGTTGATGACATGTTGATATTTAGTGCGAACATTAAATCCATTTACAAAACTAAAAATTTCTTGTCCACTAAATTTGAGATGACAAACTTTGGAGAGTTTGGTGTAATCTTAGGAGTTAAGGTTACCAAAATTGAAAAGAGATTTTCTTTGAATCAAACACACTATACTGACGTGTTAAAAAATTGGCAATTTTGATGTCATCCGTATTAGAACTCCTTGACAAGCATCGTAATTTGTCAAATAAATAAGCCTTTTCCTCAAATAAACAAGTTAAGAGCGTAGTATAGAGAAGAAAGAGTCGATCTGTAGGGACTTAGAAATTTCCAATGTCGGTTTGAATTGATATCTAACCAAGAAATCTGTAAGAGGAAATATAAAAAATGGGGTTTGGTAAAATAAATTGAATAAATTGAAACAAAGTAAACTAATAAAAGTAAGAAAAGTAAACGATTGAAAATAATAGTATGCGAGATAGCCTCCAGCTTTGTTTTTCCTCAATTTGTCTCGATAACGGAAATAAATTTTACTTTGGATACTTGTTGGTTACATTGTACAGGGCCCAACCCTTGTAACTTACTTTTCTCTTTGGTGCACTAATCTTCCAAAGTCAATCTTTAGAATTTAGCCATTGTTTGGATTAACAACAACTATAGAAGTTAATGCCAATTCTATCTTTAGTGTTGGAAAAGCCTGTGCTTGGATTATGCTATTTTGATGAGAATCAAATCCGATCTTGATTTCCCTTAGCGGACCACTGCTAAGTGTGTTATAAAGGAGTTGAATTTGCTACAAGCCAACTATTCACCCCAACGATAGATCAAATTGTCAGTCAAACCAATGCACACCCTTTGGATTGAAAGTGTTGAGATGTTTAAAGGAAAGGTTGATTGCCAATCCTAGATTGTCGAAAATCAAGAAAGAAATTTGAAGGTGTGATCTTTTTTTATTCTCACAAAACGGATTGATTCATCGCTCAGCTATCGACTAAATGAGAATTTATCTAAGCATGATAGAAATTACACTTAACATATAAATAAAGAAAATGAAGAAGAAAAATAATCTTTATAAAAATCCGAAAGATAATTAAAGCTAAAAGTAGTACATCTATCAAACTTCACCTTACGAGTATTTATAGTTTGAGATAACATAAATAAAATAAAATATCTAAATAAAATAAAACAGCTAAAAATAATCCTAAGAATATTCAAATACTTAAATCCTAATTAATAGCAATATAAAATCTTAAATAATAGAGAGACAATTCCTAATTAAAATAATAATTCTTAAATAATAATTGCAATCCCAATATATGAATCTTAGGGAATCGTAGCCTCTTGGCAACACGATGGGCCGAGGAGCCGAAGATACGGGTTCAACAATGGCTAAAATATTCGGCTTGTACGAGTTTATCATATCACGAGCATTACGTGAGAAGACTCTATTTCCAGCACCTCTATAATTCCAAACTATAATACACATTAACAAGAGTTTTGAGGGGTCTCAAGTTGCACCTGCTCACTTGAGAGAACTTTATCAGCATCATCGATAACCATCTATATCGGAGAAGACGCACTGACAGGGGACTACGTACCTGGAGGTTTCTATAACACCCGACGAAGAGGAAGCGCAACTAACTTCGAGCGGCTTGAGGATTCTTTGATCAACAGTGTGAGTCGGTATCTAAAGCCTCTCCCATCACAGTATCGCAATTAACTATTGTTTTTGTTTTTATTGGAGGTGTAGATGAAACGTACATGGAGCTTTCACGTAGATTCTCGTTAAACTTTGCATGCATGGGTTAATTGGTGGCATTGGTCATCTCCAAGGCCCTTATGGGCTGCACATTAATAACATTTATTGTGGGTTTGTTAAAAATTTTGTCCACTGTTGATTTTGGTTTTTTAATGTTCTGCACGAATATGACCAATGTCATCAGCAAAACCCATGCATGCAAAGTTTAATGAAAGTCCACGTGAAATCTCCATGAATGTTATTTTTTTTATGGTGCTAAGTTGTTATTTATTTTGATTTTAAACATGTTTTAATTATTTAATTTTAAATTAATGGTCGAGATATTTTTATATTATAATTATAATTTTTTATTTTGAAAATATTTTAATTAAAATTTTAAAATTGTTTTCAAAACATTTTAGTTTCAAATAAGTAGCAGAAATATTATTTGCGGCCCTTTATCTAATTAAGCCTTGTTTGACGTGACTTTCTAAAAGTATTTTTAGGTTAAAAAAAAGTCGTTTGGACTGCAAAATCAATATCAAACGGATAAAAAATGAAAAAAAAATTATTTTGGACACAGTAGTTTCAAACCAACCGTAAAAGGTATGATTTCTAGCTTTTTCAGTTTTAACTTTGTGTTTGGAAGCAAATTACAATTTTACCCTTAGTAATGCATGAGCTTCACTCAATCATGTGTTTACATTTTATTTAATAAATTAATACTAACATCCTTAAAAAAAATTATTATTTAATAATAAATTTTAATTACTAATGTTTTTTGTAATATTCTTTTTGTCAAAACAACTATTTAAATTATTATTTCATAATAATTTTATGTCCACATGTTAAAAAGTATTGACAATATATTTTTCTTAATAAAATATTTCATATATAAAATATTATTAATGAATTATCTTAAAAATATTTTATATTTTTATTATAGTTTAAGTTGATATATTTTATATATCTTAGTAATATTAAGTGTAAATATAATTTAAACGTTATATTTTTAATTTACACCATAATGTTTATAATGAACATTTTATTTTTTTCAAACTCACTTTTTAACAACAATCTCAAACAGTTAAATTTTAAACTACACTTTTTTATAACACTTTTAAATGCTCGTTTATACAACACTTTTAAAAGTTACTTTTCAAAAAGTACGCCAAACTGACCTTTAGTAGATTCGTTGTCATTCAAATTTAGTGTAAAAATTTAAAAACAAATCTATTATTCTACATGGTCAAATTGTTATTCAACGTCTAATTTAACGGTCACACTTAGAAATAAGTTTTTAGCTTATCCAAATTTGACCTAAGTATTATACTATCTATTTGTTACTCAACTCGATTCGAGTTTAGGAAGATTTCGTCTAATTTGAGATTTGATCTGATTTTTGGTAAAAACATACATGCACTCATATCTAACCCGATAAAAATATATATCTTAAATCATGTCGAGAATTTTCACCTAAACTCGAAGCGTAATGAAATGACATGATTGATTCAATTCTAACATTTCAAGAATTCAGTTAGAGTATGTTAAAATTTAGGTTCCAATATAAAATGGGGGTGATTATTTGGGGATGCTTGGTGGAATTAACCCTTAAATATAGGTTTTCATGGCCCACTGTTCTAGAATTCTAAAGTAATCGTTTGGGCTTTATACTATGTTGTAGGCCACACTTTCAATTCATGTAGGCTTTATGTTAAGGACTTTGAGCCCCTTTTAAAGGAACGGAGTCAGCAGATTTTAGAATAGCCCAGTTATTGATCCAATAAACAAGGGCCAGTTTCTTAAGAGCATGCCACATCTACCCTCTAAGCTAAAACGACACCGTTTTGAGACACGTGTCGTACGAGAATGTCTTCTAGTTCCCGGCTACAGTCCCCTAACTGCTGTCCAAAGTATATATTTCATTTTTACAGGTTGGAATTGAAAAAAGGAAAAGCATGCGAACCTTCATTATCTATGATTCCTACTTGTTCTGGATCCAAACATCTCCAAAAGGGCTTTCTTTTCCTTTGACTCTTTCCTTTTTTTCATTCTTAATCCTCCATGGGCAAAGGCGGTGGTTGTGTCCCGAGCAAGAAGAAACGTTCTTCCTCCGCTGAAGACGCCTCTCGCCGCCGTGGATCCTCCACTACACTCTCCAACAACCCACCCATCGCCTCCGAGGAAGATGTCCGTGAAATCCCTGCCGCGACGGTGAATTCCACGAATACCCAATCGAATTTAAAACTGTTCATTGTTTTCTACTCTATGTACGGTCACGTGGAGAAGTTGGCCAAGCGGTTGAAAAAAGGAGTCGAGGGAGTGGAAGGTGTTGAGGCAGTTCTTTTTCGGGTCCCCGAGACGCTTCCGGCTGATGTGTTGGAGCTCATGAAGGTGCCACCTAAAGACCCTGAGATACCTGAGGTTACGGCGGCGGAATTGGTGGAGGCGGATGGGTTACTGTTCGGGTTTCCGACGAGGTATGGGTGTATGGCGGCTCAGATGAAGGCGTTTTTCGACTCCACGGGTCAGCTCTGGAAGGAGCAGACGCTGGCTGGGAAGCCGGCTGGGTTCTTTGTTAGTACTGGAACTCAAGGAGGAGGCCAAGAAACCACAGCGTAAGTTAGAATTTTGATTTAATTTATCTACTGTTGCTGGAATGTTGCTTTACGAGTGAAATGGGAACTCAATTTTGCAGAGTAACTTTGAGTAACAGTTTCGATTCTTTCTCGTTTCCTGAATTTGTTATCCAAAACAAGAGAAATCTAGAAACTTATAATGTTGGTCTTGGGTTTATTTAGGTGAGATGGTTTGAGTATTGTCATACTGATTTATGTTGTTTAGTTTATCATCTATGTTTGAACAAAGTGCTAATGGATTAACTTAATGGCTAGAAATCATGGAAGATAGTTTCTTTGAAATCAAATTGGTAGGAATTGGAGCTATTCTATTGTGCCCTTTGTAACTTTAATTTTTCTTGGGAGAATAAAGAATTTTCTCGAATCGACATTATCTAATTGAGTTTTGGTTACTATAATCTCTGATTTTTATGAGAAATTTTATTGTTTGATTACAATTCTGGTAGGCATTCTACATTCTTAAATTCATTGATGTTATTTTAACAAATAAGAGTGCTTATTCAACACTCTACTAGCCTAGAAAATTAAGCCAATGGACACTTGCTTCCTAGTTTCTCCTTACTAGTATTTTCCTTTGGAAGTTATGATTTTCACATCTTGTTCATGCTCAATGAAAGATGAATTATGCCCAACATGAACTCTGAATATTGGATCACAGTTGATGGTCAATTTCCATGTGATTATAGCTTTCGATCTTTCCAAGTTCCTTCGGACATACCATATCTACACTAAAACAGAAGCTAAATGCTTGAGGATCTAAAGTGGCATGATTTTCAATAGTATGGACTATCAAGTTCCTTTGAGACCTATTTCTTCTACCATATTTTTAATAAATATGTGGAGAAATGTTGAAATGGAATTGTTATGCAATCAAACCTAGAAGGGTTAGATACTTAGATTAATACTTTTTCTCTGAGAGTATATATAAAAACAATGAAAAAATATATGGGTTATGTACTTATGAATGAACTCATGTACCAAGGACTATATTTATCGACATTTTGACGTTTCTCGTGCTACTTCTGGCTCAGTTGGACAGCAATAACCCAGTTGGCACACCATGGAATGCTATTTGTTCCCATTGGCTACACTTTCGGAGCTGGTATGTTCAAGATGGATTCCATACGAGGAGGTTCACCTTATGGTGCTGGAGTTTATGCCGGTGATGGCACAAGAGAGCCAAGTGAAACAGAGTTGGCTCTTGCAGAGCATCAGGGGAAGTACATGGCTGGTGTGGTCAAGAGGCTGCTTTCTCAGGCATGACATACTCTTTTTTCCCCCTTGTTCAATCTGTTCTTCATTAATTGAATTGTGTTTGGTTTTGTGAATTGGTCTTGGCATTTGTACTGTTAGCACCCATCATGAAAGATGTCACTAATTATTGGTATCCACTTTCAGCTTTCATGTTTGCCAATTCCATTCGAGAAAGATGTACGTGATTTGATATTCTTCCGTCTTGTCTTGTCTTATCATATAAGATGTCTATATGTGGGAATTGGGATTCCTGGTTTGTATAATTTTCTCCATGTAATTCACTTAAAAGTTTGATTTTTAATAAACAAAAAAAGGGTTGCATTTTCTTTTTTATTGCCATACAAAATCCTATTATTGTCTCTGTTTGAATCATCATCCGTTTTATGTATCAATAAGGAAAATATGCAGTATGAAATTATCACACCCAAGGTGAAGATTAGCCAGTTTTTGCATTCTGATATGCCAATCTTTGGCGATGTTTGCCATAGCATTATGCGAGGGAGGAACCATCCTTTCTTAGAGCCCTTTACAGCTCATGATTTAAGCATTTTCATCCTGGCTAGGATTGCTTCACCCTCTTTAATCACCAGTCTTTCTGATCATTGCCTCTCTCACTTCTCCCAATCACACCTTGAGATGCAGCTCCGATGTGCTCAGCCAATACTGGTGCATTCATCTCCTGTTCGGCATACAGCGTCCACTCATTAATTGGAACACGATTGACAATACTCTTCAGACCTGAGTTCCACTTGTAATGAGACAAAAATCCACCAATGGATGGGTGGCTCTAGATTTTAGCTCGAGGTGCCCACATCGGAACCTCCAACCCGTTTTTTTGTCCGGGAAGGCAGTGTTGCCGTTGTTTGTCTTAAAAATGTTGCTGTTGAATCAGTCTCTACTGGTGGGCCAACGACCCAAATGAACCGTTGATTTTTACCAAATATATTTTTTTATATACCATCATCAAATCAAATAAATTTTAATTAATCGTTTACATAAGTTTTTATTGAAATTTATAGAAATGTAAAATTCTACTTGTATTTAATTTGGACAATGTTATGAATTTATTAATTACCTGCATGATGCATCATCGTCTTGATTTTCTAGTATATGTAACTGGAGCCTCGAAATTAATGGGCTGATTTGAGTTTACAAATTTCTACACTTTTGGATCAAATACACATCACAACATGAGCCTCGTGGGTTTATTTTATTTATTCTAAAGACGCTCTTTCAAGTTTGAAACCCCAAAACTGAACTAATTTTGAGAATCAATACATTTCCACCACAAATTAGTCACTCGGCTCTAGCATTTTTCACTTCTTCCATATGAATGTCCAGTAATTTAGAAAAATAATAACTTGAAAGGAAAAGAGTGGCAGTTAGTCCCTTCCAAATCCCGAGTTTGTGTTTTCTTCAATGGATGTATGTTCCTGCAAACTAGACAATCTCTTCACATGGCAAAATAGAATCCTATCAATCATATTCATGAATGGATAAATTAGAGAGAATTCAAACATAAACACAGAGAGTGGAACATTTTTTAGATAAACCCCTAAATTCCTTTCTTCATCCTGGATATGAGCAATAAGCAGCGATATCAAAAAATTAAATCTGTACAGATCGAAAAAAGATAGGCCACTGAACGATGATCTCTGAGCAATGCCAATTAATCCGAGCTTTATACACAGGTCTTGCTAGTTCCAAGTGTAAGTTCCAGATCATCTAAGCCAATCTCATGTATTCTCTCTCCTTCCCAAGGCTTCACTCTACAATCCCCAAACTCAAATTCCGAGCATCTCCCCATCTCTGCAACATTCGCCTGGAGATGACCATGTTGAAATTGAACCACCCTTTTCACAAGGCTAAAAGTAGGTGAAGGAGGAGGAGCCGCCGCCTGACAACTCACCCAACGACCAGAGTCAACAGTTGTGGCATCGAACTCGTCGCATTCTGGTATGGTGGATGGTGTGCGGTGGTGCTGCCTTGTGGGGCTAGATGGGGCTGAGGTAGTGAAAATTGGGTGGCGAAACGAGTATAGGGAGTCCCAGTCAGATTTGAGCTTAGATCCTCTAGTGGGGGAAGAAAGTGACGGGGTCAGTGGAGCGATGTTGGATATGGCTGCAATGTTACTGAGGAATGGAAGGAGGTGAGTCGAGATTTTTGAATCGAAACGAGTCGGACTCGGGCATAAGGAAGATGAGGGACTCGCATGATAGGAAGGTACGGGGCTTGGCAAAGATGAAGACTGTGGGCTGGGTTGAATAGATGAACATGAACTGATGTTGGTCGAAGCCGCTCCAAGCTCCAACAGAGGTGGCTTGCATCCCTGCATCAAAAGATGAACAGAAACCCGTTTTAGAACAAACTTCAAAAAGTAAAATTTCGTACAACTGAAGGGAAGGGAAAAGGAAACCTTGCGGTAAGTGGTGCCATCTTCTTTAACGATCCAACCAACCTCGGCACAAAGAGCTTTCAAGACCTCGTTGTTGTCGCAATGTTTGGGGAGCTTATAATTGCCTTGAGCTTGGAGGCCAGAATATATGTTTGCAGCTATGGCTCTTCTTCTCCGTTCTCTCCTCTTATTGTTCTCCCTTTCTTTCCATGTGAGTAATCTCCCTGTCATCTTCACTAATTTCTTGCTTTTTTTTTTCTCTTTCAAGTTCCAACCTTGGAGGAGAAGAAGATGCAGAAATGTGTGGAGTCCCAATAGAGACACGCAGGAGACCAAGTCCTCTTTCTCACGAAAATATTGCTTTGCTCTATGGTTGAAGTTGGGAAAGTTTTAGGCTTTCGCAGCGTTGGTTTCTTAGATTCTTCCTATGTTTCTCGCCCTCTCTTTCTCTTTTGCTTTCACACTTGGTTGAATACAAGTAATCTGAAGTGATATAAACCCATAAAAGAATACTAGTATTGATGATAGCCTAATCAAGGTTGGAAAACATGAAACTGCCCTACCCTATCACGTGGTGGATTGGTTTTTTGTTAAGGATTTTTTATGGCATGTTTTGTGTTTTTAATTTTTGGTTCGTGGAAAAGAAGAAATGTGCTGAGTTTGGTGAATCTCTGGCATCTTCTTTGCTTTAAAATCATACTCATTTGTCAGTTATTCCTGAAAAGTGATGAGTCCCAAAAGTGATGATTGTATTTTCGTACCCTGCTTGCTTGGTAACAAAACTGAGCTAAATTGTCTGAATAACTTTTAAATATGAGCCGAATTAATAAGTTAAAAAACTAAAAAAAGAGCGGTCATCCAAAGCTTTTGCTCGAGTGAATTTGGTTGCGCACACAGTCAATTTGTGGTACGCTGTGGCCATTAGGCCTCCATTATTGACACGACAAGGATGATAACTTCTTTGCAATTTACCCCTTCCCACCTCTTTGCTTAACTTCTCTCTGCACACAATTATTTTCTTATAAAATTAATGTTTGGTTTGGTCACAGGTCTCACTAGAGTCCTCTTGGGGATCTTAATGCTATTTTTATTCATATTTTTTTAAAAAACTTTTAATTAAATATATAAAATAAATTATATATAAATATATTTAATCTTATATTTTTTAAATTATTACAATAATAACAACTGGATTGAAATTAAATTAAATCAATTTTTAAATTTTAGTTTCAAACAATTTAGAATATAGATTAGATCAAAAACAATATCTTATAATTATATGCCAAATTGCCAATCTTAATCTATGCTTATTTAAATTGATGGACATCTACACTTGATATATATGCGGTTAAGTGAATTGATAGATTCTCTTTTTTTGTTTGAACAAGACATCAAACCACAATTATAACTGGTTTCCAGCACCACTTGCGACGGTGGTTCAATAAAGAAAACCTCACGTATCGATATAAATAAATCGAGCCAAAGCAGTTAAACAATCCGTTACACTATGTCGAATATATCTGATACAAACTTCTCGTTTCCGCTTCATGAATTTCTTTATCACAATGATGAGGACCTTAAAATTGTAGAGCTTGAACGGGAGAGATATTGCCATATCTTTCAATCCATCAGTAACCCCATTCTGTTCTTTGGGAATATGGTTAAGCCGTAGTTTCCGATTCCATTGGATTAAATAGACATGTGGTAGTGTCGCGACCGTCTTTCGGTTGGGCCCCGAATTGAACTTCGACTTGTATTAAATGAATTGGAGTTGCCATCGACCATTTTAAAACAAATTTAGGTGGGTCGGACACCATCTTACCTGATCTGCGTTGTACCAGAAACGTGTCGAGTTTGGGAGTCGATTACGGTCAAGGAAGGATTAGCACCCTTGAACCACCCTTTCGATACCAATTAATTTTTCGGTTGTCATTATTTGCGAAAATTTAAATTTAAATTGAAATTAAAAAATTCAATCCGAATTAATTACCTTTGATCGATTGAAAGTATCCATCTCCCATGTTTTGCATGTAGAGAAATTGGATTTGCAATGAAAATGATCTGCCACTCATCGTGCTTTTAGATACTGGCTTTGGATCCTCCACGCTTATTTTTTGTCCTTTTATTCCCTCGGTTTTTCCAAATCGTTGCCCATTCCTCTGATTTTGATTCCACGTTTTTCTCTGTGTGTTCCTCTTGATGCATGAGTCTATTTATAGTATAAAGAAACCTATTTTTAGCTCAAATTTAGAGTTCTACTTGGACTCAAAATGCTTCGATTTTAGTGTTTTAATAGGACTCAAATACGTTGGTTTTAGTGTTTCAATAGGACTCAAATACGTTGGTTTATTTTCTGAATCTCACTAAATCGAGGTTGTTGAGTATGAGGCCCACAAAAATAATAAAATAAAAATATATTAATAATAATAATAATAAATAAATAAATAAATAAATATATAATATAATAAAATGTTTTTATAGACCCGGACAAAAACGGGTGTCTACAGCTGCCTCTCTTTGCACATTTTTGTGTTAACAAGAATAGGGCAAAGATGAAAAAGACAACCAGTTTTTGTCCGGTTCTCTTTGATTTGAGTCTTGATAGTGTTTGTTGTGACAATAAGTCTATATATTGGGCACAATATCCTTCTTCTTGAAGTTGAAATCGTGGGGAATCGGAAAGTGGCTCTTTGTTGCCAATCTTAGTCGACCTTGGTCTTCTTCTCGATTTAGAGACATGTGTGTAAAAATTTGACCGAAAAGTAGTTTCTTGCTGATGCAACGCAGTTAATACACCCTCGAGCCGAATGGAATCGAACTCGAAGTTCTTTGGCAGATAACCCTTCTTGCCTTGAGCTATACTGCAAATGATGGTGCCTTTGAGCTGAGTAGAGTCGAACTCCAAGGTCTTTGTTGACATATAACCCTTCTAGCCTTGAGTTATGCCGTAAATGATGTTCCCTCGAAGCTGAGTGTAATCGAACTCGAGGGTCTTTGGCAGATAGCCCTTCTCGACTTAAGCTATACTACAAATGATGTATCTTAGAGTTGAGCATAGTCGAACTCGAAGGTCTTTGGTTGGCAGATAACCCTTATCGACTTAAGTTATGCTGCAAATGATATGCCTTGGAGCTGAGCGTAGTCGAACTCGAAGGTTTTTTGGTCAACGATAACCCTTCTAGCCTTGAGTTATATTGTAAATGATGTGCCCTCGAAGTTGAGTGCAATCGAACTCGAGGATCTTTGGCAGATAGCCCTTCTCGACTTAAGCTATACTGTAAATGATGTGCCTTGGAGCTGAGCGTAATCGAACTCGAATGTCTTTGGTTGGCAGATAACCCTTCTCGACTTAAGTTATGCTGCAAATGATATGACTTGGAGCTGAGTGTAGTCAAACTCAAAGGTCTTTTGGTCACAGATAACCCTTCTAGCCTTGAGTTATACTGTAAATGATGTGCCCTCGAAGCTGAGTGTAATCGAACTCGAGGGTCTTTGGTTGGCAGATAACCCTTCTTGACTTAAGTTATGCTGCAAATGATGTGCCTTGGAGCTGAGCGTAGTCGAACTCGAAGGCATTTGGTGGGCACGATTCCCTTCGTCGTGAAGTTGAAACCGTGGATGGCCCATTCGTTGTGAAGTTCAGCCTCGAATTGGATATCCTTCTTCGTGAAGTTGAAATCCAAATATTTGTGCTATTTCGAGGCCAATATCCTTCGTCGTGAAGTTGAAATTGACTCTGAAACTGGAAAGTTATTTGTTGACAGTCAGTCGCCCCTTCGTTGTGAAGTTGAGCTTGTGTTGTCTCGAGTCCAATATCCTTCACTGTGAAGTTGAAATTGGCTCTGAATGAAACTGAAAAGTTGTTTGTTGACCGTCAGTCGCCCTTTTGCTGTGAAGTTGAGCGTGTGTTGTCTCGAGTCCAATATCATTCGTTGTGAAGTTGAAATTGACTCTGAATGAAACTGAAAAGTTGTTTGTTGACAGTCAGTTGCCCCTTCGCTGTGAAGTTGAGCTTGTGTTGTTTCGAGGCCAATATCCTTCGCCTTGAAGTTGAAATTGACTCTGAAACTGGAAAGTTGTTTGTTGACAGCCAGCTGCCCCTTCGCTGTGAAGTTGAGCTTGTGTTGTCTCGAGTCCAATATCCTTCGCTGTGAAGTTGAAATTGGCTCTAAATGAAACTAAAAAGTTGTTTGTTGACAGTCAGTCGCCCCTTCACTGTGAAGTTGAGCTTGTGTTGTCTCGAGTTCAATATCCTTCGCTGTGAAGTTGAAATTGATTTTGAATGAAACTGAAAAGTTGTTTGTTGACAGTCAGTGGCCCCTTCACAGTGAAGTTGAGCTTGTGTTGTCTAGAGTCCAATATCCTTCGATGTGAAGTTGAAATTGACTCTGAATGAAACTAAAAAGTTATTTGTTGACCTTCAGTCGCCCCTTCGCTGTGAAGTTGAGCAACCACCATCAATTTCTAAATACACTTTTTGAATCGATCATCTTTCATCTTGAAGTTGAAATTTGACTCTAAAAGCTGTAAAACAAATGTGTGCTAAAAATGATAAATGTGATGCTCTTAAGTGTGTCTAAGATGCATACAACATGAATTAATTCTGTTTTATCTCTTGGATGGAGCCTCATTTTTGTCTGTTGGTCTTGTCGTTGGAATCGACCATGCCCCAGTTCAAGCTTTGGCTTTACAGACCTTATGAAAGGAAAAGGTTATATTGGTTTATTGCAAGAGCAGGGTACAATGTTTGAGTGCATATTCTGGGTAAAGTCAAATTCCTTGTTTTAAATCATGTTACTTCGTCAAAGATCTGTAACTTTGAACCATTTTCAGAGTTTCTTAATTCAGATGATATTCAAAGAATTGCAAGTTTGCAAATGTGATTCATTGCTTAACGTCTTTAAAGTAACATAAATTTATTTAAAAGTCCTTACAAAAACTTGATAAAAAATGAAAAACAAATTCAAACAGAATGCCTCAAATGATGAAATGAACTTCCTCACTTGGATGCCCCCAAGTTGTTGAAGTTGATCCAATTCTGGTTACGCATCTTCTGCACGACTCTCTTGAATGCGTAACAATTATCAATTGTGTGCCCTGGGACACCGCCGTAAAATTCACAATGAGCATTCTTGTCATACCACTTGGGGTATGGAGACTTCATGGGTTCCATCGGATATGGTGACACTACGTGGGTGTCAAGAAGTTGCTGGTAAAGCTCTTTGTAGGTCCTGGAATAGAATCAAAATGTTCCCATTTTTTATGAGACATATGAATGTAATAAAAAAGAAAAATAATGCGAAATATGCAGGAATGCATGATGCATGCAATGTTTGAGGCATTGATCAAAAAATATGTTTGTTATTAGAAATAATCCTTATTGGAGGCAAAAGTGTTTTATCTTTTAAGAGAAAAAAATATCCTGACAGCTTCTGACATGTTGACTA